CTCTCCGAGCGGCATCGCCTTCGTGAAGAGACGGTTGTGCTTGTTCTGCGACTTAGAGAGAGCGACGATGGAGGACTCGGCCTTGACTGTCTCCCGGTAGCCGACAACCGGGTCAGATATCTTGAGCGGGGCACCAGCGTGGTCCTCCTGGAGGTCCTATAGACGAGAGTGAGATCAGATTCGGGTCCCGAACGGCCCAAGCAAGCGAACGAACCTTCAAGCAGATCTCCAAGTGGAGCTCACCAGCACCGGCAACAATGTGCTCTCCGGTGTCGGCGATCCAGGCAAGCACACAAGGGTCGGACTTCGAGAGACGCTTGAGACCCTCGACGAGTTTGGGAAGGTCAACGGCGTTCTTGACCTCGACGGCGACCTGCACGACGGGAGAGACGGAGAACTTCATGACCTTCATGTTGTGCGCCGTCTCGGACGAGGTGAGGGTACCGCTCTTAAGCAAGAGCTGGTCAATGCCGACGAGACCAACGATGTTTCCGGCCGGGCAGTCCTTGATGGGCTCGACATAGCGACCCCATCATGAGCACGGTGCGCTGGACCGACTTGACGAAGAGGTCGTCCTTCTTGCCAGGGAGGTAGTTGGGACCCTGGATGCGGATCTTGGGACCAGAGCGAATGGTGCCAGAGAAGATACGGCCGAAAGCGTAGAAGCGGCCCTTGTCAGTGGTAGGCACCACCTTGGAGATGTAGCAGACAAGCGGGCCCTTGGGGTCACAGTCACGTGCGGGGAGAGGGGATGTTGATGCCAAACATCTCCAGGAACGAGTCGCCGGCGGGGAGGAGCTTGCGCATGGCAACCTTGAGGAGGGCCTTACCCTCGAGATCCGTCTCCTCGGCCAGAATCTGATCGTCGAGCTTCTCGGCCGTCTAGAGCTGCTCTTTCTTGGAGTTCATGATGGATTTGAAGACCATGAAGATCGGGTTGAGGACGAACATGTTGAAGGTACTCTCACGCGTCCTGCCGTCGGCGTCGGTCGACTTCGTGGCCCACTTACAGGTGGACGGGTTGAAGAAGTTGTCGTCCGAGAGCTAAGCCATCATCTTCTCCTCGCCGACGCCGAATTTGGCGAAGCGGGTGGCGACAGATCTTCGAGACACTTGGAGCTTGCTTTGACAACTGCTGCCGCGGAAGGCGCAAAAATCGCTATGAGCCAGTGCGGAAAGGCGCATTGTATGGTAGTAGCCAGCACGGTGCGGGGATTGATGGGGAAGTGGACTCTCATGCACGATGTAGCCTCCTCGAGTCCGCCATCGTAGTCGGCACGGCTGATGACCTCAGAATCGTCGACAGCGAGTGCTCGGAGTACGAGAGCATAATGATGATGCATAGCAGAGCTATACTAGAGTTGCGAGAGGTAGTATTTTCAGGCCGTACAGGTAGAAACACGAAGCTCAAAGGAGACATTTGGCTCCAGGCCGTGCATGCTCGTGGTTTTACTTGTAGTCAGTGCGCGCGGCGCGTGGGATGTCGCGAACGCGGTACCGTGACTTCTCTCACACCACGCAGCTTCGTGCGTGGACATCATCTGGACTTGCGATTCCATACACTCGAAGGGTTCAAAGAGTTCAGAATAAAAATGCGCGCGCTCCGAAGCTAGAGTAATTCATGGAGGCTTTCGAATACTAATACGTCAGGCAATGAGGCTATGAGCTCGACAGCCGGAGTCAGCAAGAAGTAAACAGTTGGGACGCCAATCAGTGACCGGAGAAGTACGATAGGAAGAAAGCACAGGCGAAGTCTGAGCTAGCTGGGTTATACAGTAGAAGCATTACATGTGAGTGAGATCGATGACCACTCCCATCTCTTTGATCGTTAGGGATGGAGCCTTCTGACGTTCACCGCAGGCATCTTCCTGGTTGCCTGACACTCTCTGTCAGTTGGCCTCCAAGCGCAACGGAGGCTTCAATAGACCTACCCTGGTTTGAAGACAATTTAGTTGGCTTGACTTCATTCTTCTCAACACTAGCGGCGTCTTGACGTGGGTGCGTACGCATCCAAAACTTGCTCCTGGACATCGCGTACTCGAGGACTTGACAATTTGACCGAAGAACACCAGGGAACTTGCGTCGTAATCGTATGCGCAGTTCTTTGATTCCACTGGCCATGCGTGCATGCTCCCCGTGAGTGTAACGATCTGCTTCGTACATGTCTTCGGCGAAGAGAACGACGGCGATGATCTCGACAGGCGCGAGCTTGTCATCAATTGAGCGCAACATTGGGCAGCTCTTAGTCTCATGAGCTCACCATGTAATGTCCTTTTCTCTCACCGGCAAGACGTGCAGATGGCATGGACAGTGCACTGAAAGCTAACGCCATGGACTCCCAGACTCGATCTTCGGCTTGGTCTGTCACAGTGTCATCAGAAGAGACCCAGTTGAGCAACGCCTTCGTTATCTTGAAGGTCCGCTTTCTGGACAAGATCATGTGTACTACGCGTATAACGAGTAGCTCCAGTGTTGGGCCGCTGTTTTTACGAACACCGAAGGTGTCGATAAACTGAGCATCATATAATTCAAAGACAGCTTCGGCAAGCCGCTTTCGCGGAGTGCGTAGGGCGCCATGCAATTTTTGACCGGCAGTCAGGCGTTGGCCCATCTGAAGAGCCTTCAGAACGCATAAGTCAGCATATCTCGCAGATGATATGCATCTCGGTATCTCACCTGAAATAGCTGTCGTTGCTGACGGTCGGTCATGTTAGCGTACTCAACCAGTGTGATCTGTATGTCAGCAAAGTCTTTGCGCATGGACGGCGTTAGACCTTTGCATCGGCTTTTCGCTTTCCACGACCAGCGTATACCTCGTCTACAGCCCATCAGCCATTACCGTACAGGACACGAGACATATACGCACTCGTCGCGGACGGCTACATGGCCCTTGGTGAAGCTATAGCTATAAGCGCGCTCAGGCTACACCTGAGAATTGACGAAGGCTCACGAAATCAGGGCTGAGATTCGTTGTTTACCGTCTAATACTATCCATCTATGAGCGCCATCACTGACTGTGTGGGTGAATCAGCATGGATGTTGAAGTGAGATCAACCGGAGCACCGCACCTAATACTATCTGGCCCGTCGGCGCCCCCCCCAAGGCCGCCCCAAGAAATGCCGCGTCGTCCTCCGAGCTCCAAGCCCTGCATACCCGATGGTATAGAAGCAACTATCATGGATAGTCCCTCATATATACTCCATATTACGACTTACGTATCACGTTGGAAGTCAGCGTCCAGGATCAACTGCCCTTGCTCAGTCATGTCTGAACTTCCATGTCAATCAGTCCGTCCTGATGCGATATTTAGACAGCGCAACTCATGAGCTCCTGCACGGAGACGATCTTGTACTTGGGTTTGGGGAGTTTGGTGCCAATTGCAAGCGCGAGAGGGTTGATGAAGACTGGCATGGCGCAAGGGTGGCGGCTTAGAGTGAAATCCGATTTGCTATCGAAGCCCACAAAGTCGCGCCACCGGAGACATCGGGCCGCTCCTCTTATCGCGTGCTGCCGAAGCTTTCGGCGGTCCGCAACCACGTGGGTACCCACTCGTTTCGTTGGGTAATGCAATACAGGATGAGCGAAGGCGCTTGACGCTGCGTTGGAGAGGCGGCGGCATGAATGGTACCGTGTGTTAAGCAAGGCAGCTATAGCTTTAGACCGGTGCATTGATAGCTTCACTGGCGAGCAGGATGTATGGCTATCTTCGCCCGCACTACGATCAACCTACTGCGGTTGTTGTTGTGCGCCTTAGATAGTTCGCTGAGCATCCTTCGCCGAAGCGCATCCAGTTGTGGACCTCAGACCGCCGCTGAAGCGCGACCAGAACCACGCCGTAGAGATGGCACACCAGGCATGATGCTCACTACAGCGTGGTACGCTACCGCCGAGTACGAAAGCATTCTTGCGTTACAGTGATGACTTTGCTCATGAGAACCATCTGAAACCCACAGATCCGCCTAGGGACCGCCGGCTGCGGCAGTAATTGTCCACTTGCTCACGCATTGCCATATGCAAGATAGCAGTGGCACAATGTAGTACATGTAATACAATTGAAACAATCAAAGTCTTGCCTCTTCGGCGATCGTCACGAGAATCGAAGGTACATGAGTCCCAAGTCTACCGGTCACGTCCCCTTCCTCACGGCACCGCTCAGGACTGTATGACTAATCCGCTTCTACGACTGCGAATTGTACGAACTCTACCTGGAGCAATTCCGTCGGTATGATGATCTACTCGCCCACAAATGAAGTACAGCTGTCAATTTGGTCCGTCATCGCTCATCGAGGGTGTTCGTCATGCGCCTGAGCAACGACGCAGGAGGAATGTACTCGCACAAAAGGAGCCAAGGCGGGCAGGATGCAGAACGCTACCTGCGCCACACTCTGACCCAGCCGACTTCGGCAGGCCCGGAGGAGGAAGCGTATTTGTAGACGATTGCAGTACGAATGACCGATAGGTCATCGAGAGTCGCTCGCTTCTTGGCAGTGAATACAAGCATGGCGACGGTGAGTGAACAAAGCCTGCCACCCGGTGGAGCCGCGCGTAGACATTGTGTGAGTGAGATAAGTCGATGGGCGAAGTCGCGTGGAAGACTGACCAGTCACTGGCAGGGGCGCGTAAGATGCACCGAACGGCAAGAGTATGTGCTCGAAATCGGTCAGAGCAAGATCCAGGTCAGAACCTAACGAACTGAAATCTGTCAGCGAATGCGTGTAAACGCGGACGGATGGAACACACCAGTCTGGGGCGAACGGAAGACAAGTCAAGACTACAATCTAGAGTCAACTTGGATGTCTAGTCGGAGCAAGGGTTTACGCACTAAATAAGGATTAGCTGCTATGGCGAGCAGGCTGTCTGAGAGCACTCTGAAGTCGGATGGTGGAAGTTAGTCGCAGACAGGCGGCGCGCACCACACGGCTATCCTCGGATATTCTCACACTTCGTCACGACTCACTAGGACGCGCACATCGCGCTCGCCAACCGAGGTTGCAGTTAACGGTCATCATCCCTGACGCCTTCTTCGCAAGGGCTCAGCCTCTGTTGTTCCTACTGCGAGCGTGCTTTGACTGTCAATGCATTGCCCCTGACACATCAAGGCTTTGTCGTGCTCCCTGCTTTGTGCTCGTCCTTGCACCAACAACAAAAGAACAACAAAGCCGTGACGAGAAGAGCAGTTGTCAGACGAAGAGCTGAGATGCTATATAGACACCGCATCCACGCCGACAATATACATTCCCTTCTAATGACGCCTTCGTCTGAGCTCCTACTTCTTACCGGAGAGTTCAGTCCCAGTCCGAATGGAGCTGAACTCCAGAGGGGCATATGGGTCGATTCAGCTTCTCAGCTACACTATGAAACGGCGTCTCCGGGATCCCCCGCTCTGGAAATTAGGATGGGCCACTCTGGCGAGCGTCACGGAGTCTCGGAATCTTCTGCTCGCCATGACAATCCTTCGACGACGCGCCAGGTGCATTGGGAAGATGGATCGCAGTGGGTACGGTACTTTCGTCATCGTCAAGTCCGTGGACTCATTGCTGTACACGCACCGGTTCTCTCTTATTCCAGTCGGATAGCGGTACAGAGTCGGATCAGCTGGACGAGCTCGACCATTCCGATCATTCTGATGGAGCATCTACCAGAAGCAGCAGCAGTCTCAGGTCGGGAATCTCGGGTAAGTACTCCTTCTCCGAGCTCTACATTGTACGCTGCTAAACTGGTTCTTGATCCAGCAACCAAGTCCACTGCAGTTACTGGCGTTGTTCTCCCAATAACACCCATGGTTGGGGATGCCCAGCTACTGCCTGTACGACAGAGCACTCAGGTCAGGCCACGAACGCCTCTATCTCTCCTCATGAACACGTCCCTAACCTTGACAAACACTATCACTCAGGCATCCAGTGCAATTATGAGGAAGAAGCGTGTCGCGATCAGAAATGTGCCGAACTACTACACAAGTTGGTTTGCCCTTGAAGGGGGAGAACCATTGACGGCTCCCCCGACGCTTCATTCTTCTGTACACCTGGAAATTGGCGACATTTTCCTTCAGTTCACCACAACGGCGTCTCAAAGGTTTGTCCGAGTGTGGATACTGGTCAAGAATGGGGGAGGGATAGCTTGGAGACGGGTGAGGCGATCGTCTCATCGTGCTCTATAACTTGCTAAATTTCAGGCGTCTCGCCATATTTAGTGCACCGACAATCCCGTGATGCACCCGCTTCTGCCAGATAGGGCACTTGCTTTTGTTCCTAGCGATCAGACTACACCAACCTGGGTTCGGGACGATACGCGCAGGCGCACTAGGAGGAATCAGCCTATACTCGTCGCGTATTGAGGAGACGATAGCGATTGGTCTTCAAGGCTACCAGAGATGTAGTGTCACTCTCCCAATTCCATATATTGCGGTCTGCGACGGCGTAGGCTGCTGGGTGTGACGAGAGCGGTACCTGAGCAACTCTAACTCATAAGATGAAACCGGACATTGTGAGTTACCAGCAATAGCACAAGCAAGTCGTGCTATAAGCTTCATCACTGGCACGCACATATCGAACCCATCCAGGCGTTCATGATGCCACAATAGATTGGTCATAAGTACAGCAGGGTTGGCACATAGTAGGTTTGGTACAAAAGCCTCAGGCAGATTGAGAAGCAAGGCGCGTGTCATGAATGAGACGGATTGAGACCTCAAGATGAGTATCGATGCTACAATATTGTATGACCTTAAGGATCGTTCAACGCTCGGCCATGCGATCGTGTAATTCGCCGTCGGTCGTTATCCTGAACTTGCGCAAGTCTCACTGAGCGCGTGAGATACAGGGGCGTTGGCTCCTGTTGTCCACGGCGACGACGTTGTCTGCGTTTATGGAGATGCCGCGGCGTCTTCTCGCAACCTTGAGCTTGGACCTGGCGCGGCGGGCTAGCCGATTCGGTGATTGTGCGTAGGGAGCCGACGGTCGCTGAACGGCGTTCTTGATTCTTTGAAGGGGGGATAACTGCATCGGAGAGCCATGGGTGGTCTAATGCATCAATCACGCTCATTCGCGTAGAGGGATCAAGATCGAGCAGCCTCTCCAAGAAATCGCGACCTTACGAGGTTAGTTACGTGGCTTATAGATACTGGACATAACTCACTCTCACGGCTGAGGCGCGGGCGATCGCCCAAAGAGTCCAAGCATCGCCAATCGATCCGCCTTTCTACTACACGTCGAGCAAGCGACAAGCCCTCGTCGTTTTCCAAGAACGGCCTGCAATTCGTCAACCTGAATCATGCACCATACTCAGCCTCCGACTACAGCATGACACAGTGCCAGCACTTACATATTGAAGACAGTTACGCCTATGCTCCAACTGTCTGCCAGTTGATCGTACCCCTGCCGCCCGTTTGTCGACCTCTGTGCACATACTTCTGGAGCAAGATAATCGGGCGTTCCACAGATAGTCTACGATCTTGAGCATTCGCGAACAAATCTGATAAGAAGAATACACAAACTTGCAGCCCAGACGGTTCCTTTAGTACCTTCGATACTCCGAAGTCGGTGACTTTTGCGACACTCTTATCTTTTGATAGCAGAATGTTCTCGGGTTTGAGGTCCCGGTGCACTACGCCTTGTTCATGGATGTGCTGATAACTCAGAACCTGGTCAGGCATATACTATAACCGTGACGTAGTGCACTCACAGCCACAGCTCTACAAATCTGCCGTGCAAGATCTTTGGCTGTCACCTCATCTAGGGTAATACGGTCAGCATGAGATGAATACATAATCGTGTCACGCACCAAGGCCTCCCTGTTCCACGATGTAATCCATCAAGTCGCCGCCCTCCACCAGTTCAAGCACCAAGTCTAAGAATGTATCAGCGGCAGGCACAATCTGGTAAGGGGGTATGCGCGCACATATACATCCGTCTTCATCGCCCTCCTGAGGTAGGAAAGCTTCGCGTAACGAACAAATGTTGACGTGGTGGAGGCTTCCCAGGATCTCCGCCTCTCGTGATAGAGATGCTGACTGATGGGTAGTTCGGCGATGCATCATCTTGACAGCGTACCAGTCTCCCGTCACGCGATGAAGGGCCTTCATAACCGTCGCTGACGCGCCGCGGCCGAGTTCATGAGTTAAGTCGTAATGCGCGTAGAGCCTGCGGACATCATTCGCGCTTGTGAATAGTCGGAATATGTAGCGATGGTCTTGCGCCCGGTCTGCCTGTTGCAGTGGAGTTGCAAAGGCAACCTCACACCCATCGCGAAGGATGTGGGCTTGCCGTGCCTTTATACGTCCACCGTCGATCTGCGTCTGAACGTCAATAGGGTGTACAGGGTATTGGAGATTGTCGGGACGCACCCAAACACCATTCAGCGAAAGGTCTTGTACAACTACAGCCGCATCAGTGTTCTCAAAGCCGTTCCACGTTACGATGCAATGCAAATTGCCTGGCCCACGGTTAGCATTTGGCATGGGAGGCTGAGGGGTGGGATACGAACTGATCGCAGCGCTTGAGAGACATATGTCGCTGGTAGGGTCACGGCCGATTGTATACCGCGTCCGAGGTTTGTAGAGGTAGATTGGTACGAGGGCAGTCGAGGCATTACAAGGATGGAAACACGCAAAGGGGGTGGAGCGGGGCAGATCGAGCTGTAGGATCACGATTAAAACGGGCGACTCGCACGGAACTGTCGGCCACGAACAATCATTGCCGAGAAACAGCAGAAGCAGCAAAGAAGCGCTGAACTTGAGAGTGCACTATCGAGGACAGACTTGTCGTACTGCACGAATGTGGAATCGCCTATATAGCTGCCTCCTTACCAACTTTCATGACGTGTCTGCATCGTGCGGTGCCTGATGAATGGGTCTCGTGGACCCGAGTCGCAGCGCATGTCACAACCGCCGAGGCGCCGAATGGAGACTGCGTTGGACATCAGGCCTCAGGTAGGTCCTCGCCGTATGACGATATGTGTTTCGTCCGCTCACAACGCTCTGGAAGCGCATTACTTCTGCGGAGATAGTCAAGACTTGTGGCCTGTGGGCAGTCAAAATGGTGAGGAATGGGTTTCTTAGGTCATGACTGTGCGGTCATGACCGTGCGTGGAGGAAGGAGCAAGAGCGCTCGCTGGCACAACAGCAGCTTTCGGCAGGCCGCGGGACACGTGTTCGCTGCGTTCGCGTCGTCCACCCCTGTGACTGTCTTGCTATCTACGATGCTCCCACTTCCTTCATCCCTGAGTGCAGTCCGTAGTCAGCGCCGATACAAGACGCAGATATAACAACGACATTGCGATGAATCGATTGGTCATGGTGATTGCAGCAAAAACGGCCCTGAGAGAATTCCGCTGTGACTGTGAAGACGCTAGTGCGACCTCGAGGCCGGAGGATGTGACTATGCCGAGGGTGCGCGGGAGAGCATCACTACACGAGGCGGTATAGGATGTGATTCTGGCCTCGAGGTGTGATATCCGCCTCGAGGTGTGATTATAGCCAAGGGTTTGCCTCGAGGCGCCCAAGATGTGACTTTAGGATGGGGGATCCCCTCGCTCTGCCTCAAGAGCGTGCTCGCCGTTGTGGTCTTCGCATAAAAGGGTGAGGATGGTACGGGAGCTAACATACCAGCACCCGTACATTGTCTACATTCTCCCAACCCATAGCTCAGGATCATGAACCAGTCTACCATCCGCTCCGCTGCGATTCAAGGTCCACTCGGCACTTTCTATCCCAGCGCCGCCCTCACACAAGTGCGTCATGCCCATCATACTCACTGCTTACATCAGCTTACATCTATGACGCTATAGACGCAACTCGTGGCTCTCCGCGTTCTCTTTGGTTCTGCGGCTTCTCCCGACGAAACTTCACCATCGCTCGACAAGCGGGAACAAACTTCCACGCAACTTGCCTCCGCCGATCAGGCTGAGGGAAAGCGCCAGTCTCGTGCTCGTACTCGCCCCAAAGCCGAGATCCCTCGCTCGCCGAACTGCTTCATGATCTTTCGTGGGCAATTCCTCCACGCTCCGGAGTGGCAACCTATCCGCGAGTCTGCCGCCGCTATGCAATACAATCTCTCGAAGCTTGCGGGAAAGCTCTGGGCGTCCATGGACGACGAGAGAAAACAGTCGTACCGCAGGCTACAGGACGAGCGCGCGCGGGAGCACAGACTTCTCAATCCCAACTACCGCTACAAGCCGAAGCGTCGTGAACAGAAGACTCGTCAGCCTGCCAAACGCCCGCTTACTTCGAAGAAGGATGGCCGCAAGCAAATTGAGGAGGTACGCCTGAAATTCGTTAACTCACAGTCGACGATTACTCAACATTGTCCCAAGGAGACATTGGTCGTTCTCATCAATCAGTTCAGATCGCACAACGAACTTCTTGGTTCGCTCATTGAACCATCAGTCTTCTGCTCCAACGCAAACGAATCTCCTGCGTCATGCGAGGACGATAAGGTGAATGCTCTTGCGCCCTTCATTCAGCGCAAAGTCTGATTTCTGGCAGGCATCTGCCTCACCCCCATCCATATCGTGCCCAGCGTCAACAGCGGGCTCGCCTTCGAGCCTCGATTCTTCAATTTATGAGGCTTCGATCTTCGAGCCTTCGGTTTTCTGTCTTGACGAGAGCATGGGCACTGGGAATCCTGAGTCCTTCGACGCCGTGAGTTCATCATGCGTTTTCCGTCGCCGTCCCACCACTCACTTCTAAGCAGGCGCTTGTACCATCGACGAGCTCGTCTTCTCCCTCGGTCACCGGCCCCGCCGTCGGCATGGAGTCTTCACTGCAGCAAACGACGTTGCCGGACTTCGACATGTCTTGGCTCGACGAACTAGCGTCCGCATCTGAGCCCATCTTCCCGTGGACGGGCGACTCTCAATGCATCGACTCCTCGTTGAATACCCTTGATCTGAATATGCCCTTCGCCGACTTTTCGTGGTTCAACGACTTCGACACTGAGCAAAGACTCCTGGACAGTAACAGTTCGTCTGAATCGGACATACCACAGTCCTCACCCGTCTCAGACACGCATAACAATATCTAGTTGTATTGGAGATGTATTCTACCATATATAGTATTCATTGTCACTTGTTTGAAACCGGACACAGCTTTGAAGTTTGCCAAGGAAGATTTTGAAAGATACGTCCATTGGGTACAGGTCTCCAGCCGTCTGCTGAAGCGCGAGCGCTTCCCCCACGATGTTGACGATAGATCCGTCTCGATGAAAGAAGATTGAGGGATAGTAATCCGCTGACCGCCGGAAGGAATATTAATGTGAAAGAAGAGCGGACAACATACACCGCCGAAGGTGGCGGAAGGACGCCCATAATGAAGAGTGGGGAGATATATCCGGTCTTGGATCGTGCTTCGGCAGGGCGGCTTCCTGTATTGATGGCGCCACTCACGAATGCAATCTCAGCAAGGAGCACTCCCGTTACGAGCGCCTGTTAGACAGATTATCAGCATAATGGGTCATCAACTGTTTACTACGGAGACGCAAGTTCACGGCCGAGCGCCCAACAACGTATCTCTACAACCTTCGGAAGGTCGTCTGAACAACACTCTAGTCGAAAGTGGATCGTTGTCGGTAGGTACAGGCTGAGCGGGAGGTGTAGCGACCGTCATATAACTCCCCCATGTAAGCACCGGGCAAGCAAGTTTCCATAGTGGCATCGCTGCGGCGCACGAGATCACGCGGATAGCTGGAGGGACAGCCGCAAATGTCAATAAGTAAAAACCTGGGTGTTAGTTGACAGGTATGGGGTTTTCACCTTCGCGCACCGAGCAAAATTACCATAGGCTATTATAGCTAGCCAGAGGCATCACCATCAGATATGACGTCATGCATCAATGATGGATGACGTAGTATGGGCACACGGAGACTGGCCCGCCCGGCCCTACGCTCGCCGCTCGCCCGACGGGTCAATATTCAATTTGACCGCGATTGGTGCTCAGGTGGAAATGCGAGCAACGGGTTAAAACCCAAGCCCAGGTGAAAACCCCGCGCGGCCAGGTCGAAACTTGCGCAAGTCAAAATTCATCGCACAAGTGAATATCATGGGTCAGACCAAAATTCACCCAAGTCTTCAAGTTAAAACTCGGGAGCGGCGAAAAATGCACGGCAAGTCAAAATTCGAGCGGGTAAAAATTCGAACGGGCAGGAGCGGGGCGCATAGGGTAGTATATTGGATGCACGGCAAGTCAAAATTCGAGCGGGCAGGAGCGGGGCGCATAGGGTAGTATATTGGACAAATGTGTGTTGACATAGAAGCAACGTCGCAAAGGCAGCGTAACAAGCGCCATGGAGCTCTACCGCCACTCGCACAAGACGCCGTACGGGAGCAAAGGTCGTATTGCCTATCGCGGTATCAGTATTGCCCTGCACTATATGAATGTCTTACTCACCAAGACGCCTTTTCGCGCATCTCGCACACCGGATCCAAGCGTTAAGTCGAAGCATAGTCACTATACGCGGTGCAGTTGACGAACATAGTACACAGCGATATAGTACCAGGTCGTGCCGGCGTGCTGTCGTGGTTGCTCGTGAGTCGCGACAAGGTGCGGCCGGAAGCGCGCGTCCGATCATGCGTGTGCGGTCACGTTATGGTTCGACTTCCGTTCTCGCGCGTCTTCTCCCTTCCTCCGCTCCTGCTCTCCTCCCCTCATTGAGGCCAACATCTATTTCGGTCATCATTCGTTATGCGTACTACTCATCTAGAAAATATTAAGTGCAAATACAATATGCGTTGCGTCCTGCACCTCGTCCGACTCAGTCCCCACGCCATCGCTCTCAACCCCGCGCCTCCATTAATCTCTTGGACATTTTCCTACGTCGCTGCATCAATAGCTGCTGGAGTGGATCAAAACCGGTCCAGCACTCACTTTACTCGTCCGCCTGTGGTGGATGTATGGGTGGCGCTGTGTTTATTTGCCACGATCTTGAGCACGTCTGCCACATCAGCCGCCATGCGCCTCCATACCGTCCCCTCGTCGCTTTCACTTGCGTTTATGCCCGAGCCCCAAGCCAACAACGTCGCGACCAAGATCCTTATTCCGTTTTCGCCGGGACATATCGTATTTGCTGGCCACGTCAAGGATGCGTTGGCAGGCGCAACCAGGCGGCCTATGTCGTCACGCCGCTCGTCGGGCTGCAATAGAGCCCACTGGCGCGGTAGCGTCAGGTGTATGTCCCAGTCGAGGAGCGCACTGGTCCGCTTCTTGCCCTGCACGGCCTTGGTGCTGTGCCATCGGGCTACTCCGTTCCTTGGGCTGCGCGCGAAGGTCAACAGATACGCCGGTTCGAGCATGCCGGCTTCGTCCGCCCGCATAAGGAACTGCTCGTCCGCCTTCACTGCGTGAGTCACTCTATCCCCAACATATAGCGATGACTGAACTCACCGCACTGCTGTTCTCCAGGGAGAGGTATGCGAGCGCTACCTCGAACGCCAAGTCGCGCATTTCGCCGATCTTAAAGGCCGTCGCAACCTCGGGAAAGAATTTGAGCCCGTTCGTTCTTTCTAGCCACGTCTTCCGCAACGCCAGGCTCTGCAGGGCGCTTTCGCACGCGCTTTTGAACTAAGTAGATGTGCGGCTTCAGTCCTCACGCTCTCGCCGCCAAGAAGTTCAACTGAAGCTCACCTCGTCCACGGTGCGACGGTCGCGCGCACTTACATCATCAAAAGCGAATACGAGACGCGAGGACGGGTCTTCCTCATCGGTTGGCTGCGCGTTTAGCTGCACGCCCGCGTCCCCGCCCGCATCAGCTGGTCTGGACGACTGCTCTCGAGGCGTAGCGGCTGCACGCCCGCGCTTCCGCGCCTCAGACGTTGCGCGCTCGATCAATCTCTTTGGCTGCGCAGAGCTCTCGATCAGCAGACGCATGCGGCAGCCACGGTATACAACCCACCTCGGGATCGTCGAGCGAAGCCTGCGCTGCATCGTTTGCGCGTCCTGAAGCGCTGAAGCCGCTCCCCTCCTGCAACGCTGCCGTGGACGACTCTGCCGGTGCGGGTCTTGCTCTAGGCGGCAATGGGGCAGGACTGGCGCCGTCGTCATCCTTTCGGGGTTCGCTTGGCAACGACGCCGCGCTCTCGCCCCAGGGCGCTTCGCCGTCGAAGGCGGGTGCTTCACCATCGAAGGCGGGCGCAGGAGCACTCGCAGCTGAGCCATGCTCTGAGTCGCCGCGTGCACGGCTCGGCCCAGGCTGCTCGCCGTCATGAAGCTCGGCTCCAGCGGGTTTGGGCGTCGGCGGTCCAAGATCGTCCAGCAGAGTCGACCAGCGAGACTCTGAGAAACTGGTCGGCGTCCTTCTCCAAGACAACGGGAAAGGGAAGCTGCTCACTGTTCACATTGTTCGCGTGGACCGTGATGGACAAACCGGTCTGGGCGTGAACCAACGGATCCTCGTCCTTCCAGTCCTTGAACTTCTTATGCGGGGATTCAACGGCTGCCATGGAGCTAGCAGTCGTCAAGACTTTAGCAAAAGCCTGCAACGCGAGGCGTGGACGAGACTTACCAGTACGCCGCGCCTTTCGGCCCGACCGTGTACCAGACGCACACAGCCGACCCACGCACCGCAACGAAATCGGCGAGATCAGCGAGCAATTCTCGCGCCCGCTCGAGGAACCTTCGGCTCTGGTTAGAATCGAGAGAGAGCATTAGCTATGCGCGACTCACTCCGCGGCGTCGTCCGGCGACTCTGGCTCCGCAGACTGCCGCCCCTGCCACTCCTCTAGCAACTTGCCGTGCTCTTCGTCAATCTTCTCTCGGACGGCCGCCTTCTCATCCTCGGAGAAGTTCCTGTAACGCTCAGAGGCGACGGCGCTTCTCACGCCCTGCCGCGGCGTAGCAGCTCTGCCCTCTTCGGCCGCCAATCGGCCGTCCTCCTCCACCCGAGCATCTACCTCCGCTTCAAACCGCGTCGACTCGTCACCCTTGAGCCCGTCTGCCCAAAACAGATGGGCCTGCTTGCGCCTGGGCGCTTTCGACATGAAGAGCTTCAAGATGTCGCCCCCTGCGCCAGTTCTCGAACCCGCAGGCTTCGCGACGAAGCCTGCGCCGCCAGGCTTGGGCGACTCATGGCTCGCCGCCGCCGCCGTGCCACCGCCGGCTTGGGCCTTTGCGCCTTTCTTGTTCTTCGTCGGGTAAGTGAGCCTGTTGCTCGCCGCGCGACGTCGATATTCGTACTCCAGCAAGTACTTAACTCTCTGCAGGACCAGGTTAGGGCTTAGGTACAACGAACAAGCCTGCGTCCAGCTCTTACCCCTCGAACTTTGGCGAGGACGGCGTCCTTCCTCTCAGCCTCAGCCACCGCATCGCCACTGCCGCTCGAGCCCGCCTTGCCCTTCCCCTTTCGCAATAAACTCTTCGTCTGCGTCACGGTTGCCTCCACGTCCTTCACGCTCATGCCCGCCTTCTCGTCGACGTCCCCCGCTTCGGAAGCGCCTTCCTGCTCTGGCTCTTCCTTCAACTCCTTCAAAGGATCATCCCAACCGTACTCAGCGATGGTGACGATGGCGGCGTGATCGAAGAGCTTCGCCGTCGTAGTGAGGTGTGCGATGGGCGGCAGCGGCGCTAATCCCCCTCGGATGCGCTCGTGCGCATCGGCGTGCTTGAGTATGAACCCTTCGACCTCCTGAGCCGTGTTCCGCGGACGTCCTACTGGGTTCTTCGCCACTTGCAGAGGAGTCTCCACGTCTCTCACCACAGAGGCGGGGAAGGCGCTCTCGCAGGGTCTGATGGGCATCATGGCGAAGAGCTGCGAAGTACGAGGAGGCAAAACCCGGCAACAGACCCCCAACGCTGGGCATATTATACGGCGCCCTCATCCGTCTTTCTCTGCGCCTCGTGCCGGACGGTCTCTCGCGTGGTCTAAATTGCTGTCGTGTTCTTGAAATGTGGTTCCGATTCGCGAATCCCAGCGCCGCCATCTCCGTTGGGATTGCCCCGAAGGCGCGAGCCCTTCTGTCGGTCCTTGCAATCTACAGCCACACGCCGGACGAGCAGTCCAAACTTCACCCAGGGAAACCTCGGCCATGCTCACCCGCAAAATTGGGCGACGACTCCCAATGCTACTCAGCCCCTACAAGCCAACGAGTTGGCCCCGCAGAGTGCGAACGCGGATGGCAAGCGCGCGCGGCCCTGCTAGCAAACCGGCACGGATTGGTACGCGTGCTATCGCTCAGGCCATTGTCATGCACTTCGCATTTCCCGTTGAATGTAACCGCCGCGGGGGCCGGCAAAACACATCGGCACTTGGGCGGTTACGCGACAAGTCCTCCGCACATCGTCTATGTCGACAGCCGATCGACGCGCCCGAACATCTACTCGCAGGTGGCAGCAGCCGAAGGGCCCGATCGGCGAGCCCCGCTCCCGGTGCTTGTCTCGCAGAAGAAATGCGCTCACTCGCTCCTCTACGGTCGGCGCCCACCTTTATAACGCTCTTCCTCGTAGTTGATGCGCCGGCTTCTCACATGGCTCGCATCCGTACCTCTCGCACCTCTCACCTCAAGCCGTCCAGCTCCAAGTCGCGCTCAAAGTCGGACGTGCTTCGCCGGTTGCGCACGGAGGTACGCAAGCACGCCGGCGCCATCGACCGCAGCGCCGTCCGCGAACTCCGGCAACGCTGTCGCTCGCACGGGCACGGTTTGATTGGGCCTCTGCTACAGTATCGACAGGATACTCTCGACCGAGGCCGCTACTACGTCATGGCGAGTGCTGCGTTGGATGTTGAACGTTGGGCATTGAACTAACCTTACCACAGTGCAGGCACAAACACTCTGACGACACAGGATCGACGTTTGAATACGTTTCGGAGAGGCTCGTCCATGGCACTCGGCGGCAACTCGAAGACCATCACGTCGCACTACATTTGCAAATCGTAGGGTCCATCCCTACGGACCAGCCGCTACAACGCCTTCCATCAACCCCTCCCCCCAGCGGCATAGAAAGCCAGGTTGACACTCCTGCCCTCGAACACGCAGGGCGCGTCTTACCCTCGCAGCTTGCCCAAAGCCGCCGTTCTAATCCCGCTGAACTCGGCGTCGCGGTGGCCCAAGAGCAGGGCCGTCGCGCCCGCAGCCGTAGCATCGAGGTCGTCGTGCTCCGCGGCGTACCGGTCCCAGCCGGCCATCGCGGGGTCCTTCGCATTCAATTCTTCACCGCCGTACGCTTGCCCGCCCCCGTACGGCCCTCCTCCAGCCACTGACCACAGCCCTTAGGATCGGCTACCACCTGCCTTCATCACTCTGCGCGCGGGCCGCGAGACTCAGTGCTTCTCGATGGGGGCGTACGCGCGTCAGTGGAATGCGCTGGAGCTCAAGAATTCGGACCGCGTGAAGATTTTGACGCGAATGATTGGGGGCGCCCCCGAGTGGAAGCTCGTAGCTCTCGAGGAGCTTGCAGTCTCCGCGCAGCACGGCGGCGTTGTTCTCGCATGCAAGGGAGTCGTTAACTTCCACTCTGCGTTGAAGGCTTATCACGCGTGGGCGTGCCCTGACCCCGGTGAGCTTTGCATCGTGACACCGACGCCGAACCGCTTCTCATACATTCCCGGCCAGTCTTGAATGCGTCAAGCCGTACCAACGCGCCTGTGGGGGACGAGTCGGTTTATTAACTGTCCTTTCCCCGGCCCTTCTCTCTTCCGTATCACACCCTCTCCTGCATCGCACTTCGTCTCATTCTCAAAATGCCTTTCAATGTTACCATACGTTAAATGAGAACATTTACTAATTGACAACATCCCGCGTCGCCGGTTTGATCGCTGCTCGAGCGCGGGATTAGCGAGCCTTGAACCCTGAAGACCGAAGAAGGGAACCCTCACCGCCTCAATCCAAGGTTCAAGCTCTGTCGACCAGGAAAACGTTACGGTTCTCGTGCTCCGACCTCCAGAACTCCCGAGCGGCGTCCTCCGTGTCCCTGCCCTCGCAGTACGTGTCCGCACGCGGAACCGCTAGGCGCCGGTCTCCGTCTCCCTCGCCCTTGCCGTGCTCCTTCGCACACGGCCTACAAATGGACCGTCAGCAACCCGCTCCATAACCGCGCCTGCCTATCAAACAAACGCGCACCAGCAGTCATAAATCCCCGGCTCTACGCCTCTTATGACGACGTAGAAAGGGTGCTTGGAGTGCCTATGGCGACGCGGGTCTTCGCACGTGTAGTACGGGGGCTCGCTCGACAGCGATGTGTTACCTGGATCAAGTCGTGCCCTCGTTAGCGGCGTCCGAGCTGGCGGCAACGCGCACCTTTGGCGGCCGAGGCACCTTGGCTTTGCAACGGCTGGGAAGGGCTCGCTCCCTCGCGCGCGGACCCGGCCGCAGTCGTCGAACGTCTACGTCTACCGTTGAACGTTATTTTGACCGAATCTACTAAGCCCGATTCAACAAGCTCGCGGCTCAAGTTGATGTTGTATGGGGAGGACATCGCGGTTGAAGGTGAAGCCTCTCGCGCGTCACCTTCCCCAGCCTCCCCGCATCACCTTTCGCGGCTCAAGCCGGACCCAATGCTTCCATCGTACAGTCGATGGACTCTAATTCACGCACTTCTGCTTGCAGACCCTTCCAAATCGTACGCGTTCGGGGGCGCCAAGCTAATAACGTCGTAACATATGGCGCGTCTACCACCGTGCTGCTGCGCCCTTGCGCCATATCGTCGGCACCATCTCGTGGGCAAACAAAAACGGACAACGCAGCATCTTCAACTTCCGCCCGTGTTCCTAGCACGACCCAGAACCGCGGTTGCGCGAAATTTTCGCGGGCTTCTCTCCCCGATCCCCTCCTCGACCCTACCTCGCTTACAGGCCGCCCAATGCATCCCACGCATGGCCCGTCGGTTATGATGCGACACATCGGTGACCCTCCGCATTATGCATCGCTCTCACAGGCTTCGGTTCCTTTCAAGAAGCCAGCAGCGTCTCATCTCCGTTGAACGACACGGATTGATTCAACTCACCGGGTTTTCAAGCGTACGGTACGTCCGGCCCTCTCCACGAACTCAAAATACGCGAGAGACACGCATCCCTTTAAACGAGGCCCGTTCTCCGCCGGCTTGTCGTGAAGTTGCGCTGTTCATGGCTGCAATCAACCCCGTCGGCTACGCCGTCGACGTCCGCCCAACGCTTCGGGTTATGATGCGCGTGTGGGACCTTGTCAACGCCGTTCTCGCTGATCCGACCCGCGCACTCTCAGTCAGCCCCATTCTACCGCTGCTACATGCCATACCCGCAGCGGCGGGTGGTATTGGCGGCAAACCCGACCTCGCCTCTTACCCAACCCGGCCCGCTCATCACCTCGCGCTCCACACCATTCTCCAGACAGTCGAGTGGGCGGTGCTATCTCAGCCCGAGGTACGCACCATTGCATCTGTTGCCACTCGACCTTTTGTCTAATCATATCCAGGCGTGGGATCCTACGCTGGACGCGGTCTCGCTCCTCTTCCAACTATACACGGACCGCGCCGGCGCCGTGTTGCTCGAGTACGATCTAATGCAACCCGTGTTTCTATCTTCGCAGGACTTTGTTGATGCCGCTGCTCCAATGGATCGCGTCGTCGATGCATTGTGGATGCATCGCAGCTCTCAAAGCTTCGTACGCGCTAGTCGTGCAATTATAAAATTCCAGCCGTAGCAGCCTGGGGGTTACAACCTCTGGCCAAAGTTGACCAAGGCAGGTTTAAACCCTCCCTCGACCGGTTTCAACCCTACTCCATGGGCTATAGCTATACTTACATAATACTCGCATTTCTCGCAGGATGACAAAAAGGCTAGGATATCATTAAACCACGATAATTATATTCTTATACATCAAACTAATATAATAAAACAAGAACGGGAACCTCCCGAAAAATGACACGTCAAGAAGTAAAGTAGTCAGGCACCATAAAGATATAGATCAACCAGCCCCCCTTGTCGCAGCCGGACTCCGCGGCCGTCGCCGGACGGGCCTCTCCGGCCGTCGCCGCTCACCGCTCCCGACTCGCCGCCGCTCACCGCTCCCGACTCGCCGCCGCTCACAGCCCCCGACCCGCCGTCAACCGCGACATCGTCCCTCCACCCCCATCAAAATGCGGCCGTGGGCGTCACCCCCTGCGCAAATCCCACATGCGCCGCCACCCCTCCTCGAGTCCACCGCGCGCGGAACACCACAAACGACCCGCGCAGGCCACCTGCCACGGCCCGCAAGGGAACTGAAACACACGGTGCGGATACGCCACCGACCAGACAGGGCGCATCGAGATGGTTGGGTGGCGGTTGCGGGCGAGGCTGAGGGGTGGGTCGATGCGCATGCAGGCGGTGGTGGTGATGCAGGCGGTGGTGGTGATGCAGGCGGTGGTGGTGGTTCGTTCTCAACCCTTTCACCGCGCGTCCGAGCCCGCCCGTTCCGGCTGGTCAACGCGGTCACATGAACACGGCCTGAGATTGCGCCATGGCTCTCGGCCGCTGCTACTGCATTCCGTATGTACTATACCCGTATCTACAATGTACTATACATGTATCATATACAAATACTATCAGCATCAACCTTCCCGTACCGTCGACCTTATCAGCCCGTCTAATCCATGCACTCGCGCGAAGTCCGCCGCCTTTTGCAGAGGCTTATCAAACATCTCCCGTAGCCCTTGCGCGTGCCGCCGGAACATCGAAGCCTGCTTATAGCCGTATCCCCGTACACCATCTCGCACGCTGGGGTCAAGCTCAGGTCGTGGCGTCGCCGTTCGCGCCTTCCACCAAGCTGAGCGTGCCGTACAGAAAGCCGGCGCTCGAAGCATCTCGTACGCGATGTGGTACACTTCCTCCACCCAGCGCATCGCTCGCGCACGACATTTTACCAGCTCGACACGGAGATCTGTCATCCATGAAGCGTGAGTACATGAGCACACAAAAAACGAGCGCAGACGAACCATCGTTCAGCTCCAGTTCCGTTCCCTCAGCGACTTTGTACCAAATCCAAGGAATACGGTACGAACTCTGGCCGGAAGCCACGCCGTCCTTTCTCGCGGCGATAAACTGACGTACACGGCGCACCTCTTCAGCGTCAATCGCGAGTAGCAGGCTATTGCTCAGTGGTCGGCAATCGTTATCCCGCAACTCCTGGAACAGGTCCTCCCAGTCGTCGGCGACATAGAGGGCGAGCTCCTCCTCCGTTAAGAACGAGACGAGCGTCTTGTAGCGCTCGCGATGCACGCGATACATGTCCCGTGCCATCTCTATGTTCTCCTGTATGACCCTCTGTTTGTTGATCGTGCGCGTCGCCATGCGCTGGCCGGTGGAGAACTCGATCTTCCACTGTTTCACCGTCCCGCGTACACGCAGCTGTTGGCGAAGGATGTCGAGCCAGTCCTCCATGCCCGAGAACCGTAGCTTTAACTCCTCCAATAGAACGTTCAAGACGCCTCGTGCCAAATCGCGGTCCAATTCCGACGGTAAGCACATAACCGCTGCGCCCGTCCCGGAGATTCCCTCGTCCTCGTCCTCGTCTTCCTCGCCGTAGACGTCAACCGTAGCGCGAACCGGCTCGGAACCCTCCAGCTCCTGTATCGCCGCATATATGCTCGGCATAAGCCACTGCTGATCCTTCCTGAAGAGCCGAATCTGGCGTTTGAGCTCCGTACTTTGTTCCACCCGCTCCCGCTTCTGAATGACAGTGCGACCCTCCTTAGTTTTAGCGGCTCTACGTCTAACCATAGTCGTCAGCGTGTCACTACTTGCCCCTGACCGACAAGACTCACTGCAGAACCTCTATTTTGAATGCGCGCAGGACAAAGTTCGTCAGGGCCGCCTGCTGATCGCCGTCGTTGCTTTCTTCTTCAACGGCCCTATCGGCGATAGCAGCACTCTGCAAGCGTGCCTTCTCCAGCGACTGTTCTATGCGACTGTTAGCTCGGGTGCTGATAATCGGGGACCGTCAAACATACTTTGCGTACGCGACTCGTATGGGTTTTTCACCGCGTTGGGGCCCGACACAATCGGGCGTCCGAGCTCGTCCAGAACTGCGCGGCCCTCGTACACAACAGTCTCATCTATCCAGCCATCCGCCATCACGGCGTTCTCGGCGCGGACAGCACCCAAAAGACCCGTATACATCTCGCAGTGCTCGATCGCCGCCGCCAACGCGATGTCCATCTTACGAACAAGAAAAGCTCCTGGTATGACGTTCAGCGCCCATCTACGTCCATGCACGAGCCCATGCTTACCGATGTTGATAAACTTCTTCCAATTCCACACGCCACAGAAGAAATCGATCGTGTCGCGCATCGTGCCTGGCCCCATCTCTCGGAGACTGGATGCGGCGGGGTTGAGACCAGCCCATGCGCGCTCAGACGCCTCCCCGTCCGTGTTCCCGATTCCGCGAATGAACGCCAGGTTAAACCAGAGCTGGCAGATCACGAGATGGCCGGGGTTATGGAATTTGGGTATGCCGAACGTGATGTTGATCTGGTGCAGAAGTTTCTGAGCGCCGACGTGAATGAATGACTGCGAAGGGACTTGAAGCATGCGGATGTTCAGATTGCGGGTGTATTGGCAGATGATGTCGTAATATAGCTTGACGATGGGGACGCGTACGCGCCGCAGTGCCGAGGCGAAGATGAAGTCCATTGTATTGTATCTGAACGCGCTATCAGCCGCGCAGCTGCGCCCGTTGGAACAGGTAACGCACCTTTCTCCTTTAATGAGAGTGCCTATAGTGTTCGGCCAGAAGAACTCATGCCGCGCGCAGAAGACTGCTCCGATGCCGGTCGTTCTGAGGCCCTTGCCGTTCTTGAGGTTCGCCATGATGGTCGCGCCGAACCGCGAGCAATTGCTCATCTATGAGACCGGCAGTCAATATCTGCTCTCCTACAGAACGAGAGTTGTTAGCCGTACCTCAGCGTCGTATAAGCCGCCGTCCTTCGTGAAGTCTGCGTATGGCTCTTCTGGGACCATGTATGCCATACCGTCGCCAAGATACGGACTCGTCTCCGGTGTCGAGCGCGTCATACGATTCTTTGCTCGGAAATTGCAGTCCATCGCGAGTTGTATCATGGTATTGAATGTACTAGATCGTGGTGTCAGCCGCCGGTCTCCCACCGCTCACATAGGAGAAACGTACTCGTGCGCGTCAGCCATCTCAGGCGATATTCGACGCATCGCTTCCACGACGTCGGTGTTGATTCCTTGGTGAGGACAGGCCGGGCATAGCACCGCCAACTCGCCATACTGCGTCGACTCCACACCACCCGCTGCGTCGTGTCCTCGTCCCGCGCGCTTGAGAGACTCCAGATGACGTCGTTCATGCGCGATACGAAAGAACTCTTTAGATCGATCCTATGAACGGTCAGCGTTGAGTGATGGCGTGGAACAGCCGTCGTACCGGGAGATGGAAAATTCCCGCGCCGTCGGTTAATGTCACCAGCGCGTTGTAATAGTCGTACGCGTTGTCCTTGCCTGCCCCGCTGTGCGCGTCGAAAGCGTCCAAGAGCTCGAATGTTGCGGCAGTCTGCGGCTTGAGCGTGGTCGCTGGATACCAACGATACGCCAAAAGCTGATCCCGGCGATGCACCTTATCCTTCGTGCAACCGCAGTATGCCACACGTACTTGATGTACGCCGTTGGTGTGGATAACGACGAACTTGTCGTACACGTGTCTCTTGAGATGACACACGTCTCCCGCCCAGTGCCCGAGTTGGACTGTAAGACCCAGCTGACGCAGGGAAACGGGCACCCACTCGTCGCGTATGTAAACCTGCGAAGACGTCTCAGTCTTCATCAGATTAACCCAAAGCTTGGGAACGCACCTCCACGCGATCCAGCGGACGATTCGAGTGCTCCTTGAGAATACAGCCCTTGCAGACCCACTCGCAAGACGCACAGCCAGAGACACATCGATAGAGTACCGTAGCCGCCTTTCCTCGAGGGCATCCTGGTCTTACGCAGCCGGAAACCGCGCCAGAGATGACTTCGGGCGGCCGGCCGTCTAGCTTCAGCAAAGCCCAGAGATACTGCATCCGTTTCGGAATCCATTCGAGTAAGGGGTGATTCTGAGGCAAAGACGCTGATCAGACGCGCTCTCGCCATTCGAGTTGTGGGTGCTTACACTAATCGACAGCTCTGCCGTCGTTGTATCCCCCACATTAGCGTCGACGGGAGGAGGTGGTGATACGCGTTCATCGTTCTCCTGGTTGTTCAGCGCCTCGGGTGCAGGTGCTGCATGGGAAGCCGTTGCTTTCGCCGTTCGCTCGAGAATGCCGAGGCTGACTTGCGGGACGCGGAGATTGAACGCATGCGAAGCGGTCCTGCCATTGACGTCGGTAGAGATGTTACGCGCCACTGAACGTAGGAACTGGCGGTCTTCGTGGTAGCCCAGAGTCGCTCCTGCTCCGCGCGCTTTCTTCTGCGGCAAACCAGGTGGCTTCCCGCTCGTGCCCGGTTTTTTGGACATCAGATGCGCCCAGGCGCCACTGCGCAGCCGGGATGGGCGAAAGGCGGGAGCGATGCACGCCAGCGTGAAATATCGAGCTGGCGTCCTCTGTTGTGAGAGGAGGAAACAAACTAGAGCGCCTTTTTTTTCTGGAACGTCGTGATGTCAGCACCGCACGCGTCATCTTATCATACTCTGCACGACACCCAAAGTCTTGGGACAGCTTAATGCGCGCCTTTTAGCAATGTTGGCACCGTACTAATTAACTCAACGACAGCTGACTCATCGACAGCTCGCCAGCACGTTTTCCAGACCGCATGAACACCAGACAGCTCACGATAACCGAGGGCGCAACGTTCATAGCCGCCGTTCTAGTCAACAACAAGATATATCGTAGGCAGGAAAACACATATACATTCAGGATAGCGTGGAGATGAGGGTTGGGTTGGAACAGAAATCCGCAAGCGCTTCTTATGATGAACGTTCAGGCTCATCGGTCCGAAGACGTCTCCCACACATACGCGCGCGCGGCAACCGACCTTTGCCGCCCATCATGACCGCCGCGTTCGCGCTACACATACAGATTGCGAACGTTGGGCCTCTTCATAAGCCTATGTGCACCCTCGCCGCTAGCCCAGTACTCTATCTCCGCCTGAGCGCTTGCGCGGACGCGCTGACGAGCCGCATGCTCCGACGTAATCGTCCTGTAGCCCTCGTAGACCACGGAGTGAGCTTCCTTCATGGCCGCGTTCGTACGGGTGGCGATTTGGACGCCGGCGCGGCCGCCGTCGAAAAGACTTGCGTGGGCATCGAAGAGTCCGTCGCTGCGATCCAGGTAGACGAGGTCGTCGCAGTGGTCAACGACGAAGCGGTGGTAGCTATTGCGCGCCTTGCGCGCCTCGTCCCGGTCGACGTCGGCGAGATACCGTATGATCTCACTGGCCCATGCACGGGCTTCTGCCGCCAGGGCGCGCTGAGTTTCCAGGCGCCGGTGTTCCTCGTGATAGCGGATTTCCCAACCGCCTGCCGCCGTACTGGTAAGATGG